GCCTCGTCGGACTGACCACCCCGGAAACGACCTCTTCGCCTGGCTTTGGACCACGAGTATTGCGCGCCCCTTGTCGATCTCTCCGACTCCGATCCCCGTTCCGGGGCTTTGCCCCTGATTCCGCACCCGGTCCGATTCCCCGGACTCGGAACCGAGCGGACTGTCTCATCGCGGTCGCCAGACCGAGTGTTACCTCCCTTGCTCGCTGCGTAATAAACTTCTATTCCCCTGCATCCCTGGATCCGGGTCTTTGCTCTCTCTCTCTCTCCGCGACAATATTACATATTGTTATGACAGTGTCGTCTATTTTCCCTGAAATTATTATATATCTCCCTTCCTTATCTGAGATTTCTGAGAGGCAATCAAATGGTAATTTTTGTGATATCAAAATTGCTACTCCTCTTCTATGGCCCGACTTGTAGGATGAGTAATACACCTTAGAGAATCCCATTCTCTTTAGTTTTCCATGTTCTACAGAAGTGAGATGCGTTTCCTGTAGGAGCACAATATCCGCTCCTTCCCTTTTCATTTTTAACAATATTTGACTTCTCTTAACTGGGTTCAAAATACCATTCACATTAAGGGGTAGTTTCCCGGACCAAGATTAAATTAAGACAGGAGTAGGCCTTAATCTAGAATAGTTAATCATGTTTTAAAAAATGGCTTTCTGAAACACAGATTAAGTACAGATTACTAACACCTGAACTATGGAGTCCTCAACTAAAATACACTCGATTAATTTAATGCCACCTGTGCAAATCAGGATTAGCTGGATTGAGGTTGCCTATAAAACATGGAATGAACCAAGAAAAGGTTAAAATTGTATGCAACTGAGAAGCAAATGGCAATGGAAGTTGAAAAGAGAGTACGATCAAAGAACTTTTCTGAACATGAGAAAAGTCTCTTAAAGCAAATAGTTTCGAGACATCCTGTTATCGAAGATAAACTACACACATCAGCTGTTGAATCAAAGAAAAGGAATGCCTGGACATCTATTTGTAATGAATTTAATGCAAATGAACCCACATCTACAGTACAAGAACAATACAACAACTTCAGGTAAGAATCATTAGTTTTATTATGGCTTTTTAAAATCACTGTTGTATTTATACTGTAATAGTTATTTAATACAGGTGTTGTGGAAAAATATCAAAATAAACCTCAAAAAAACTGTTGCTGAAGCTCGAAGAGAGAGGTTTAAGACTGGAGGAGGACCTGCAAATAAAGACTGTGATGTGTTGGATGAGTTACTGACAGGAATACTGGAGAATCAGCAACCTTTGGAGAACATACTGTACCAGATGATGACCATCTGGACAGTTCAGATGATGGATCACATGCACCTATATTAAGTATTTGAATTTGATTTTGGCTTTTGTTTCTCTCCTCTCAAACTTCTATTTGCTTCTGTCATATGATGTGAAACATTTTCCCATTTAATCTGTATTTATTTGACTATATATGAACTGTTCATGTTTCAAGGAGAAGGTCAAAACAGAACTGAAGAATTGGAAAGCAGCTTACCCTCCACATCCTCAGAAGCAAGGGTGGCAATGTCTGCCAGTACTGGTAACCAGAAGAAAAGACTCAGTGTTCATGAAAAGTTGGCTAATGATTTTCATGAACATAAATTGAAGTATCTTAAGGAGGAGCATGAAGATGAAGATACTACAAGTAGAACTGGAGATAAAGATGAAGGAGAGAGAAATGCAACAGGCTCAAATGTCACATCAGTACATGAATCTGTGAAATAAATATTGTTTTATTAAGAAAAGATGGATGTTGTGGTGGTTTCAGTAACATACCAGACCAAAAAGTTGTACACTTTTAACAAATATTTGGTTTTATTATTACATGTATCAGATCTGAACAGAGGGTTGAAAGTTAAATAATGTAAACAGATCTATTTAAAGTGGCACAATGCAAAAGCATCCCTGTATGCAAGTCCTTCACTGTGGTTTGTTATAAATGGTGGCACATCTGGATTGTCATCCTCTTCTATTGGGGGATCTGGGCATCCCTGCTTTTTTAGGTAGTTGTGAAGAACAGCTGTTGCAATGATGACAGTGCAGCATCTACTTGGTTTGAATCTGAGTGTTTTCCTAAGGCACTGAAAACAACTCTTTCAAACACCAAACATGCGCTCGACTAAGCCCCTTGTGTGCATATGAGCCTGGTTGTAGTGCTGTTGTTGGGTGCAAGTATGGCGTAAACAAGAAATCCTTCTGAGCATACCCACTGTCACCAAGCAAAATTCCATTATGATCTCTTCTTTCAAATTGAGTATACAGAGATGAGTTGAGGAAAATTCGGGAATCATGAGTTGCACCTTTCCACCGTGCAACAATGTTTGAAAACTCTAACTGGGGAGTGCATACACCTTGGACATTTATGGAAAACCAGTTCTTTCGGGTTCCTGTATTCCTCAGCATCTGGAGCAGAGGGATGCTTAATGGGAATATGGGTTCCATCTATGCAACCTATGACTCCTGGGAAATTTCCATATTCATAGAATAGTACAGTACCTTGTAGTTAGCCTGGGTTCTAGCATCAGGGAAGTTTATGTAATGTGCTTTTAATTCACAAATGGCCCTGCACACTCTGTGAATGACTTTACATACTGTTGTTTCACTGACACCACATAAATCCCCAGTTTCACGATGAAAGGTGCCACATGCCAAAAACCTTAAAGTTATGAGCTCCTGGAGACAAACTGGAATAGGCTGTCCTCTTTGGGTCACAGATGAAAGCCTGGGTTCTAAGAGTGAAATTATCTCCACTGCATTTACTTTATGCATGCGGAAATGATCTCTAAAACTTATTTCATCAAAACGTTGCAATGGGTCACTTCTGTCTGCAAGAACTTGCCTGGTTGGTGGAAAGCGCTGATCATCATTGACATAGTCCAAGTAATCCATGTGTCCTCCAAATGAAATTAATCTGAAGTTAAACCTGCCTCCTGGTAGGTTTAATTTAAGCCTCGATTTAGTCCTGAAGTTGCTCTAGTCTTCCTCCAGGAAATTAGCCTATTAAATTCTGGACTAGACTAAGTCTTAGACTTTTTAAAACCATGACAGAGAAAGCACATTTCTGTTAGTCTGATTTAAATGGCCATTTTAGTCTAGGACTAGGCTTAATCTTGGTCCGGGAAACCACCCCAATATGTAGTAACTTTAAGCTTGTGCTTATCCATAGCCTTTTTTTTTTTTTTTTTTTTTCCCCCTGGTCACCAAGGTTAATCCCTCCCAGTGCTTCCACTGGTATTCACCTTGTACTGTACATTAACAGTACCTCCCGCAAACTACAAACTTTAAACAAGAACCAAACAAGAACAGGTTTAAACAACAAAACGCCACCACAGCAAACAGGAACAGTTGTTTCCGGTGTTAAGGCTCGTTTTAAAAGAGCCTTGGGGGGCTTCATACAGTCAAAGCCTCCGTGAGGGAAAGTCCCACGTCGTGACAAAAGTGGGGCCCTACTATATGGTTGTACGGTACTCCAAATGAAATTGTAAATAATTTAACTAAAACAACAAAACAGAAACTTTCCGGATAACACGCCAATTAACAAGTCCCGACTACTTTAATTACTCAAATAATAAACCGTAGAATTTACACTAAATAAAAATCGGTAGCAGTCAAAATATATATCTGTGAAAGTCAGCTAGAACTTATCTGCATTCCTGATTTAGGAAAACTTCTTTGGACGATCATTTCCTGAACTTCTGGAGTTTTTCTTTGTAATGCGAGCGAGCATTTTTATTGGGTTGTGTGCAATCTTCTGCTGCAACAGATTCCTGATCCCTGCCCCGGTCGTGTCGCTTCCCCGCCACTTGCCAATTAGATAACAGCGCAATTTGCTCCTGATCCGTATTAGTGGACGACTTCACCACTGTAACGGAGAATCCTCGTGAAACCATGTCCCTCGTTGCCTCTGTAGCATCCTGGTACAGCCGAGTGCCATCATCATAAAACACACGCATCCTTGCCGGATACGGTGTCTGGAATTTTATTTGTTTTCCTTTTAACACTTTCTTGGCCTCGGCGTACTCCCCTCGTTTCTTAAGCACCTCAGGGGGGAAATCATGGTCAACGTAAAAGCGAGCATCATTGCAGAACACTTCTTTTTTCTGCCAGGCTCTCCGAAGCACCTCTTCCTTCGTCCGATAACTACCGAACTTGACTACGATTGACCGTGGCCTTGCTTGTGGATTATTGGGTTTCGGTGCTAATGCTCGATGTGCTCGTTCAATCTCAAGCTCTCTGTCCTGGGGAAAGCCTAGTGCAGTTTTCAACAGGCTATCTAGAAAGCTCGCCATGTCCGTACCTTCTTTATCTTCGGCTATCCCGTAAATCCTTAAATTGTCTCTACGAGCGCGACCCTCCTGATCTATCAGTCTAGCTTCCAGGCTAGCTTGACGCTGTGTTAGTCGTTTGATTAGCATTGATGTAGCTTGAAGCGCTGTCTCGGTTTCATTAATTCTCTCCTCTGCCTCCTCTAATCTGTCATTTATTCTCTTCAACTCTTGTTTAATATCGGTAAGCTGTATTTTATTGTCCGCTCTGAACCCTCGAAGTTCGTTGAGAATACATTGCATGCTAACTCCGGGGCTATCTTCACCATGAGTGAATGATGTCGGAGAGCTGCTCCTATTTTGTCTTGCTTCATGGTCACTTTCTGTTACATTCGGCGTTATCCTACTCCTAGTAATAACCCCTTTCTCCATTGTTGTGTAGAATAGTCACAAAATGTTTCAAAAATAATTTTTGGGGGGTTATTTTACAAAACCGTCGGGGAGCTCGAGAATTAGGCTGTCATCCTCTTGGTGACGTCACCGGAAACCACATCCAGATTCTTAATCATCTTTTCATTTGTAAATGCCAAAATATTACCAATAGTCCTAAACATACCTCGACATTCCAGCAGTGCACATGCAATTTCCTTTCGAGATGCGCTCACAGCACTTTGGCTCGTCTTCACAGCACTGATGTGACCCTTTGAAAGGTAATGTTCTGCAAACTGCAAAATTCAGTTGTATTAATATTAATTCAAAATAATAACTGCCCAGTATAAATCAGCAAACGGGTACCTTCAAAATAAGAACTCCGCAACTGCTGGAATCTTGCTGTAGCTTGTGAGGCTGGGTTTGCACTTGCCAAACTGCATTGTCCTCGGCACAGTCTCATCTTCAGAAAATTTCTAGATATTGTACATTAAAAACAGGGTATTCAAATCTTGGAACATAAAAAAATCATACTAAGAATTAAAGCCTGTGTTTTCTCTCCAATGGTCATTACTGAAATGCATGTAATAACTCTTAACATGTTTTCAATTAAATTACATCGGAGTGACTTGTTTAATAAGAAATATTTCCACGATGTCATATGCCCAGTTACCTCCAATTT